TCTTCTGTCCTCTGCAGGCATTGCACGACACAGGTACACTTAACCTACATGCAGGCAATACACGCATACACATAAAATAAAATAAAAAATAATAAATAAAATTTTAAAAAAAGAATTCAAGTATTTAGGTGACTTCTCGTTTCTATGAGTACCTGATTTTTATAGATAGGACATTGTATGGGGCCAAGGTCTCTAAACTCATTAATGGGCAAGGCAGAGTGTGGCTTTGTTAGACCTTGATGCCTGGCCAGATTTCCCAATAATATATCATCTTCTAGATTAGGTAGAAAGGAAGTAGTCCATTGATTATTTTACTAGGATGTTTGTGGTACTCTTGGATCTTGGTTTTTATTATCCAATATCTCTTATAAAGCATGCTTAATGGATGTGCCCCAAGGGAAAGAGAAAACAATCTTAACTGATTATGTTATGCATAGCTCTCCCTGATGCCACATGCTGTAGATCGAGTAGCCAGAAGTGTAGATAGACATGTATTACTACTGCATTTACAGAGGACTCTGCTTAAGGGGAAAAAAAAAAAGTTGTTTTATAACATCCCAAAACTATTAAGGATTTTTTTATTTCACTTTTGTTCTCTTAAGTAAAAGCTTCTGTCCATAACCATGCTAAAATAAAGCAAACCCCATTTAAAGAAAAATGAAGTGTGTTTTTATTTCCACTCTCCTGTCTGGGTCTTTATAAAAATAGATTCACTATAAACTAGAATCAGCTATTGAAGATGTGCGACCAATTTTGCAAAGTCTTGAACTTGTGTCTCTCATCAAAGCCACCTTTTCTTTCTTGTCCTGCCAAGATTTTTCCCTTTACCATCAGGCATGTTTTCCGAACGTGTATATTACATCACCCCCATGTGCCCGCTCTGTCTTTTGTTCTGTCTGACCACTTTTTATCAAAACTTAAAAGTCAAAAGTATAAGTTCTTGAAATGACATAAAGAACAATTTATGTCAAAAATTTTTAAGTAGTGTTAAGATAATATTTTTGCATGTAATTATTTTCTAACATTAAATTCAAATATTTCTAAGCACTAACCAACATTTAATGTCTCTTTTGGTTTTTTGAAATTTCTGTTGGATTTTATATATGCACATCTGTGAATTCTAACACTTTCACATTTTTAATTTGTCTTTCCTACAGCAACATAAGGTTCTATACTACCTAAATCTACATAATCTTAGCTCACTTTTCAAAAGTTTTAACTCACTCTGGATTGCAGATATAACCCACCATATCTGTAGTCTATAACTACATTTAAGTGCATACAGCATTCCTATATAAGGTCATGCGTTAAAAATTGCATTTCTGGAACATATGGAGTAAATATGTGTCCTCTCTTTACTAACCTTAAATGATAAGCCTTAGGAAACTGTTATTTGTCAGTGCTATAAAGCAGATTGTTGCCCAGTGGTTTCAATTATCATCAAAGGATTCTTCACAGGCAGTAATAGTTACATCAAAACCTGAAATTTATTATTCAGGTTCTGCACTGAAGTCTTCACAGTGATTATGTTCCTTTCAACAGAATGCATTTTATGCTGACTTCTCACATTCCTTTTCATCTTTTTATTATTTCCCTAGAATGGCCACCAAGTTAATACGGCTAGTTAATGACAAGAAAAGATATGAGCGGGTTGGTGGCGGCCCCAAGCGGCTAGGACGAGATGTGGAAATGGAAGAAATGATTGAGCAGCTGCAAGAAAAAGTTCATGAGCTTGAAAGACAAAATGAAGTCCTCAAAAACAGGCTCATATCAACCAAGCAACAACTTCAAATCCAGGGACACAGGCAAACTCCATACAGTCGTGTTCAGTCTCGTATTAACACTGGCCGTAGAAAAACCAGTGAAAATGCAGGCTTACAAGAATGCCCCAGGAAAGGTAAAACAGCATATACCAAATGCTGAACTTAAGTCTTAAACTGTTTTACACAGACATGCAAATCTTTATTTTTTATCATTCATGTTTTTAACATGTCTTCTAAAGGATGTTAAAAACAGTTTTTTTGACTTGTTTTTTGAAAGTTCATAATGTTATAATGAAGATTGTTTTATTGAGCACTCAAATTTGTTTAGTAAAACAGTAACAAAGCTGTCTATACTGATACAATAGACATTTATAAAGTTAAGAAAATTGTAAGTTGAGTTGAATATGAATTCTTACTGTACCACTTAGTAACTGGTAAGCTTGGAGAAATCTCCTGTGTTGATTTTGAGGTTTTTTTTTTGTTTTTTTTTGTTTTTTTTTTTTTTACATAAAGAAAGTACTGAAGCAAGCAACCCTAAAGGTCTCTTCCGTCTCTAAAACTAGTTAGATCTACCACTTACTTCACTTTGAAATGAATAATGGAAAACCTACCTAGATTACAAAGCAATTGAGTACAGAGACCAGACTCAGTATCAATCTAAATTCTCTCTACCCTCAGACAGACGACTTATAATGAAACTAAAACCAAGTAAATATTTTAAATAACTCTGTAAGGAATAAATGTTAGGTATCATTGATTTCTGTTAGGTGTGGCTGCACATAAATATCCCATACCTTTTATAATATTAAAACTCATGTAAAATTATAGCTGCAGTTCATTGAAGGAAGGAGAAACATTATGAACAGAAGGGGAGGAAAAATTGTTGTAGTTTTCTTTTCCAAACCAAAATGTTAGCAGTATCTCTTCCCTAGATAGACTGCCTTTGAAGTCAGTAAGGCCTCCACACAGGCAGGAGGCAGCTGCAGGATGAAAGGGCTCAGCTAGCCCACTGAACATAATCTAAATATAATCAAAGTAAGCACAGCAAATTATAAATCAGAAAACACAGTCTGCCATTAATTATCCTTTTATTTGGAAGTGAACACTTGACCTCTCAGCCTCATTTTCCTCATCTCTAAAATGGAGTGATAATGCCAGGTTAGATAAGGGGCCAGGCTAGCGGAGCTCCACACTGATATTCTCACATTAAAGAGTCACATCCTCTCTCGATCTTAATTTTATCATCTGGAAATAGAAATAGGGAAGATGATATAGATGGTCTGCCAGGTCTTTTACACTAAATAAAAATAATGCCCAAATTTTAGACTGAAATGGAAAGCTAAGTTAGTGTTTAAATTACTGTTTAAATTGCTATTTAAAGTCAAAGAGATTGCCATAATTTCTCCTCTATTAAAAAATAAAAGTTTTGTTTTCAAAATGAGTCATAGAACATCAGTCTTTAAAAATGGAACCTAGAGGGGGGCTGGAGAGATAACTCAGTGGTTAAGAGCACTAACTACTCCTGCAGAGGACTCAAGTTCGATTCCCAGCACCCACATGGCAGGTAACAACTGTCCATACCAACACTCTCTTTTGAGCTCCATGGGCATTGCATGACACAGGTACATTTTCACACATGCAGGGAGTACATTCATGTACATAAAAAATACTAATAATAATTTTTAAAAAATTTTATTTTATGTGTATTGCCTGCATGTATGTGAATGCACCCATGCTGTGCAATGCCGCGGAGGTCAGAAGAGAGCTTCAGATTCCCCTGGAGGTAGAGTTAAGGACGGTTCGTAGCCACCACGTGGGTGCTGGGAATCGAACCCGAGTCCTCTGCAAAAGCAGTCAGTGCTCTTAACCACTGAGCCATCTCTCCAGCCCCCTAAATAAAATATTTTTTAAAATGGAACTTAAAAAAAGAGTACTTTTTTAATCACTCTTTCTGAGTAAACCAAAATTAGTCTGATTAACTACCCTAATACACTCTTCAGTATGGCTTTTAAGACTGGCACATAGGCCAGAGTCAGGACTATCTTAGGTCAAGGGTGCTAAGTGAGAACCCCTGACTCTCTATAAAGTATGTATGCTTTTAAAATATAACAAGGGGCTGGAGAGATGGCTCAGCAGTTAAGAGCACCGACTGCTCTTGCGTAGGACCCAGGTTTGAATTTCAGCACCCATATGGCAGCTAACAACTATCTGTAACTCCAGTTCGAGGGGATCCAGTGTCCCCTTCTAACCTCTACAGGCTTTGCCACAACGTGGGTGCTCCTACATACATGCAGGTGGTACACTCATGCACATAAAATAAAAAATAAAATATAATAACCATGTGTGGTGGCAACAGGCTTTTAATCGAGCACCTAGTACTCAAGAGTCTAGGGGAAAAGGATCAGGAGTTGGAGGTCAACCTGGGCCACATACAAACTCAGGTCCAAAACCAAAAGAATATAAGTAATAACCATTTGCAAATCACCACAAAACCAAATTTCAGAATCCATTTTGAGTTCTGTCTTCTAACTCCACCATTAATGTTGACTTTTCCCCTAATTGTGTATGAAAAACTTAAGAATTAGCTTATGGCCCAAGTAATGTAACTGACCAATTCTAACATAATAAACTGTAAATGTTGTAGGCAAAGCCCTTCCTATTTTGTAATGTAGATTATAGCAATAGATGACATCAGAAAGAACAAATAATAGTTTCCTTATTCTAATTAAAATTCTCATTTTTAATAGTACATGTATACTCCAGACATGTTGTATGAGTTAAACACAACTTCACCTGTCAATTTAAAAGTAATGAAAGTTTATTCTTAAAAGTAAAAACTTAGGCTGTAGAGATGGCTCAGGGGCTAAGAGCACTGGCTGCTCTTGCAGAGAACCTAGAATCAGTTCCCAGCACCCACATGGCAGCTGCCGTCTGTAACTTCAGTTCCAGGGGCTCTCACACCATCTTCTGACCTACAGCAGGCATTGTACAACATGGATATATTTACATGCATGCAGGCAATACACTTATACACATAAAATAAAAATAATAAAATATTTTTAAAAAAGAAAAAAACTTTAAAGTATTCTATGCCTTTATATCTTGGGCTATTCTCCATGTAAAGGTCTATATTATTTGTCAGTTTACTTAGAACTAGTCTAGAAATACAAAGTAGAGTATGTAAGTAAAAGTACGTTTAATTTTCAACAATGGTACTACCCTTATAAAGCTGCTTATACTTTTCCCCTCTTTGTTTTTCTCCTTTAAGAACAATGTCTCCCTATGTTGCCCAGGCTAGTCTCAAACTTCTGGACTCAAGTGGTCTTCCTGCTTCAGACTCCCAAGTATCTAAGACTACAGATGTGTGCCACCACATATAACACATGTAACTTATTTTTATTGGAAAGACTTATGCTTTAAGTACTGTAGGAACTACTTTATTTCAAGGAATCCTGTTGACAATACACTCTCATGGTTTTTTTTAATACAGATTTTCTTACTGACGTCGAATAATCAAAAAATCATTTAAACATGTGGGATAAAAGTGATGTGTATAAATAAATAAATAGAAAAAAGACCATTATTAAAATACTGTAAAAGGGTCAGTGAGATGCCTTAGTGGGTAAAAGCACTTGCCACCAAACCTGATGACCTGAGTTCCATCCCCGAGACCCAAGGAGAATGGATTCTCATACACATTGTCATCTGTCTTACACACACATGCTGTTTTACACACACCCAAACACACACACACACACACACACACACACAGAAAAACAAAACACTAAAGAAAAGTTTTGAAAACTTTCATATTTTAGTTTTCATTATAAATACCTGAGCTGAAAACTGATTCTTTGAAAAATTATGATAATACTTGTAAATTGTAAAATTACTCAGATTATTTCTAGATGCTTTGATTTCCATAGTGGAGTGTGTTCAGTGGGCATTGCTGATTAATGCACTCATTTACCACCACTACCTGAGTGCTGACGTTCTTCAATGTGCATGTCTTACACTCCGTGCCATGAACATACATGTCTTAGTGCTTTCTGAGGGTACTGCTATATTACAAATATGATAGAAATCAAGCCTCTTTCTTTTCTAACTTTATAATATTTCACTACTTTATTTTTAGGTATAAGATTCCAAGATGTAGATGAAGCAGAAACTGTACAGCCCATGCTTACAAAATATGGCAGTAATTTACTTGAAGAAGCCAGGGGAGAAATAAGAAATTTGTATGTATTCTTTTTCATGGACATTTTAGAACTTTGTTTATTGATTATGTCTTATTTTGATCCTTCCCTTTCCTTTATTGTAAATAAAATTTGAGTATGTATAAATAATTTGCTTTACTAAAATATAGCTAGTTCTATGGCATAATAACAGGTATTATGTGACATGTTTTCAGTAAAATAAGGGAAAGAATAGCTTACCAACTACACTGATGGCAGGATTTATAGAATAGTCCTCTTTTAATTTTACTACCAAAGGAATGGCATGGAGTCCAGTCACTTAGAATTAGTCTAAAGTTTAGAGGCAACATTTTTATTCTTGTAAATTCAGGGGTAATTTTTTTAGAGCCTGAATCAGTTAACCCTTTTTGTGAAGAGGAAGAGAAAGGACAGGAAAAATTGAGAGGAATGACTTAAAAGTTTGGAATTATTAAATACATGGGGATTTCAGCTTTTTTCTGTGATTCTGTGGAACATGCACTCTTCATCATGTCATGGTTTCAGAGAAATCTCTTCTGCCACAATCAACTTCTTTTTCCAGTTAATCACGCCTCATGGTTGTACTTTCAGTGTCTGTGAGTCACATAGATGAGCCTTATCCATAGGTCTTTACCTAGATCATCAGAACCTTGACTAAAGAAAATAAGCATTACACCAAGAGTACCATGTCTTAGACCACTGCTTAAGAAAAATGTGGTGTGGGCTTCAAACAGTCCCTTTTGAATATTTTCAGTATCATACTAATGGTGAGCTTGTGGAAAAAATAAAAGTCTGGATGTTTTTCTTGTTCCCAGCTCCCTAGCTGAAAAGCCAGGATTCATAGCAGTTTCCTAAGGCTTGCTGCATTGGATGCTGCCAGACAAGGGCACTGTTTGGCACATCTCATGCTCACTCTCTCTGAAGTGTTAATTTGGGTGTTGTGGCAGCTATGTACATATGAAAGAATAAGACATAAATTATCTGAAGACCATATTGTAGACAGTAGGTGATCAGTACATACTTAATGATATTGAACCAAAGTCAATCCATTTCCTAGGTCATTATCTTCTAGAAAGCAATATCTAGAATTATTCCAGATATATTTCCAAATTATCATTTCTGATCTGCCACTATATATGTGGTGGCAATTAAGCCAAAATTTTTAACATTTGCTTGCCCTGTATTACAATGATGAGCTATCTTTGCACTGATCTTAAATACTACAAATTTCTCCTCAAACTTCAAATTCTTATAAAGACACTTTATTTCAGAGAAACTGTTATTCAGTCACAGAGAGGGCAGATTGAAGAGTTAGAGCAGTTGGCAGAGATTCTGAAGACACAGTTGAGGAGAAAAGAAAATGAAATTGAGTTATCTCTTCTTCAGCTTCGAGAACAGCAAGCTACAGATCAAAGGTATGTTAAACCAGTAATATCACTTTGATAAGTTCATCTATTTTAAAATCCTGTGTATATTCAACATTCTCTGGGTAGAAGAGCTTTAGGCCTGAGAGCTGCTCGGCAGCCCTCCTGAAGCAAGGGCAGTCTTCCCCAACTGTCCCTGAGGTAAGCAGCTTCTGAGGCTGGCAGCTTCTGAGACAGCCTCATCTTGTTCCTTTGTCTTCTTTCCCCATTCGCCAAGACTGCAGGAATCTGACACCATTTGATTGAAGCTGCTCAGAGAAATTCGGCTGATAAGAATTCCACTGTTGCTATACCTTTTATAGAAGTCCAGTCTTTAGAGTTTTGTTCAACCTTAAAAGGTAGTAGTATGGGTGGGGTTGAGGCGGACATGGCCACCTTAGGACAGCAGTCTGTCAGCATAAGATGTTACATCTCCTAATACTTAAAGTTTACAGTGAAATCTGTTAATTGTTGGGTCGTAGCAATAGTGTCCTTGCCACCATTACATTTTTGACATTTACTAAAGAAGTAACAATTTCATCCTCCTTTGTCGGTTTTTGACTCTGAATTCCCATTCATTCATTTTGTGCTTTGATGTTGTGCTTTAAACAAGACCTTTATCTTTTTACCATAGTCCTTTTTCAGTTCTCTTCATACCCTTTTCTTTTTTTCTTTTTCTTTGTTTTGTTAACAAAGCATACCCCAAACCAGAGAGAGTAGCATATGGAACCCTCATACATCTGTAACTCACCTTTAACAATTATTAACACCTTACCAATTTTATTTCATCTAATCTTACACTTATTTCCTTCGGTTCACTAGCTCTGTCTATATAGTGTCATTCATGAATACTTCAGGATATAGTTCTGTGTGATAAAGAATTTTATAACATAGCCACCATGCCCTGTCATATCTGACAAAATCAATAGCCATTCTTTGATACCGTCTCATAGCCAATTTATATACAAACTTTCCTAAAGATGTCTTTAGGAACTGGATCCCAAATAAGGTCTACTTATTTGTTAGACTTGGTAGTGGCATCTATTTTGCCTCTTTCATAGAGCTCTCTTTTTTTTTCAGACAGGCTCTCACTGTGTAGCCACACTATATATACCAGGCTGGCCTCAAACCCACAGAGATCCACCTGCCTCTGCCTCCTGGGTGTTGGGGTTTAAAGGTATGTATTACCGTGTGTGTGTGTGTGTGTGTGTGTGTGTGCGCGCGCGCGTGCGCGCACTCATCATGGTGCCAATGTGGAAATCAGAGGACAATTTACAAGAGTTGGTTCTTTTCTTCCACCATGTGGGTTTTGGGATTAAACACAAATTATCAGACTTAGTAGCAAGTGCCTTTTCCTACTGAGCCATTTCACTGGCCCTAGGCCTCTCTTAACCAAATAACCATACATGGTAATATATAAAGAATCTAAGGAAATATATATAATATTAGACTTGTTTTCTGGATTTTATTTTTTTAATGTGTATGTGTGTTTTGCCTGCATATATGTAAGTACCCATGTGTGCAACACCTGCAAAAGCCAGAAAGCGGCATTGGATCTGGAACTGGACTTATAGACAGTTGTTAGCTGCCATATGGGTGCTAGAAACTGAACCCATATCCTCTGCAAGAGCAGCCAGTAGTCTTAACTGCTGAGCCACCTCTCCAGCCCTGCAGACTTGTTTTTTTTTTTTTAAGGTAGACTAAAAAATATATGAAAAGCTTTAGATTTAAAAGATATGTATAATGTCTAATAATTTCCATTCCTAAAAAGCTGTATGTAAAACTATATTATACCAGGAAATCCTAATATCTAGTGAAATTATAAACCATCCTAAGAGTAGTAGAGCAGATGAAACATGAATGTTTTTTAGAGTTATATTTAAATTGGGGCTGGGGGAGCATGTAAAATAAACCCTAGCTTCTCCCTGGAAGAACTGCTTTAGATCCAGCCTTCGTAGAAAACAAGAGTTGTAGGCTAGAGAGATGGCTCAGCAGTTACAAGCACTGACTACTCTTACAGAGGACTGGAGTTCGATTCCCAGCACCCATGTGGCAACTAACGACCATCTGTAACTACAGTTCCAGGGGACTCTGACCCCCTCTTCAGACCTTGTAAGGCATTGTAAGATATGGGTGCATTTACATACATGCAGGCAATATACTCATACACATAAAATCAAAATAGTAAATAAAATATTTTTTAAAAAGGAAAACAAAGGCACTTGTAAGGAGCAGTGCCAGAGGCCTAGACCCCAACACTTAGTATAATTACCAACAAGTATACTTAAGACATTACCTGAATACAAAAATTCACTGTAGGGGATGAGAAGATGGCTCAGTCAGTAAAGCATGACGACCTGAATTTAGATCCCAGGCACCCACATAAAAAGCCAGTCATGAAGGCAGAGACAAGTGAACTACTGGGGCTTTCTGGCTAGTGAGAAACCCTGTATCAGAAAATAAGGTGGAGATCAATTGAGAAAGACACCCGCCATTGACCCTGGCCTGGCAGGTCAATGTGTGTTCACACACACAAACACACACACACACACACACACACACACACCACACACACACCCTGGGTCAGGTTCCAGCTCAGGGCTTGCCCTTATCAGCTTTACTCAACCATTAGGTACAGGGTTATCAGAGCTAGACTTTCAGTATTAACTGTTAAGGAGAGCCAATGGTCCTTCACTCCTAAGATGCAGCAGAGCAGAAAGAGAATGACAACAAGGTCACATACTATAAATATACCTAGCAGAAGACAGCAACATAGACAGAAGAATTTACCTTGAAAACTAAGGGCTTAAGGAACTGAGTCATTCACATAAAAAGAAGCAGTCTCTTTATGTGACATCAAAAATTAGAACCAGAATAGCCAGGCGTGGTGGCACATGCCTTTAATCCCAGCATTCGGGAGGCAGAGGCAGGTGGATCTCTGTGAGTTCAAGGCCAGCCTGGTCTACATAGTGAGTTCCAGGACAGCTGGGGCTACAGGAAGACCCTGTCTCAAAAAAAGACCAAAAGAAAAAAAAATTAGAACCAGAAACAAAATTATTATGATAGGCAAAGGAAACTTGGTACAGAACCCAAAGAAATAAACCAGTTTGTACCTTACCTCACTGATTTTATGAGACTGAAAATTGACATGTTATTTACATTCAAAGATGCCACTAGTGAATAGCACATTGTTTCTTAAAGTACATTTTTTGAAACTGAAGAAATAACTTGAGTTTTCAATATTTTTTAAAAATATATTTACATGTAGCTCAAAATTTTATGTATAACAGCTATATTTTCAGGAAAATAGAAGTTATTGAAAAAAGTTAGGGAAGAATATAAAACTTTGTATACTTTAGAAAAATCATGAAATGGAAAACATATTTGAACTTCTCTTTCGCGGATGCATTATTTCAGATTTGAAATTCTAGAAGTCTGATCTGGATGTTGCAGCCCTTGTTCTCTAGCATGAACCTAACGTAGCTGTAATCTTCAGAATGGCAGTGCTTGATATTTATGGCAAAGCGCCTTTCAGAGAATATTACAGAAACCCTCTGGAGTATGTGTTTAATAGACCAGTTTGGTTTGGCATCAGCTTGACATAAACTTTTGGTTATCCAAAGCCCTTAATTGCTTTGAAGTAAAAGCCAGTGCTGCTCTTTTTTATTAAAATCATGTTTTTTCCTGTTGTTGTGGTCCAGTTTGGAAGACTGAGTTGTGATTTTTGCATATGTTCTACATAATGCCTCATTAGCAAAAAATCTTATATCATTTATAAGTAGCCTGAATGTCTGTTGTTTTGAACAAAAATCCATATTAAAATTTAAACAATATAAAAATGCACATTTTCTGCTTATTAAATAGGCTGTCTTAAATTAAATGCAAAGCAGTAACCAATGAACACATGTACATGAACATTAAAATCAGAACAATTTTACCTTTTATTGATTTTTTTCAACTCCAAAAATATTTATACTCTTAGTAAATGCGTAGCTAGTTTGTACTTTTTTAAAAATAAATATTAGGGTGGTATTTACCTTCTTAATTAAAAATTATGTAAGTGCCATCATGTCCCAGGGGAGGAAATTTAACCTATGTATGTTTCAGACACTCTGACTTGCCTTCTCCCCTTTGGCAGACAGCAGACTGTCAAATCTTAAAACCAAGAAGCTTTTTGCAGCCGTACATTATAAGAAACAGCTTGGCCTTAGGGCCTCACTCTTCCCCCACACAAACAGGATTACTTCCTAGTACTCTAAATTTTCCCCCAGCTTTTCGTTTGGTAAAACAGCACACCTTTGGAAAAACAGAAAGATAATAGGGTGAAGACATGTATGTTTTACCCCTTAGCCTTTCTGAGGTACAGGACCCTGTTTCTGCATTCTGCACAGTGCACAAGCCATTCTTCTCCCCTCTCCTCCTCTCTCTCTTCCCCCAACCCTACTCCTTACCTCTTCTTCCTCCCTTTCCCATTCCCCTTCCTCTTTACCTCTTTGCCAGTCTCTCCCCTCCCTTCCTTCTCTCTCATTTATCTCCCTCTCCTTTCTTCCCTCAATTCCTCCCCTTCCCATTTGAGAGGTACATTTGTACCTCTGTACATTTCTAAGAGTGTGTGTGTGTGTGTGTGTGTGTGTGTGTGTGCGTGTGTGCGTGTGTGTGTGTGTGTGTGTGTGTGTTTTGACATAGTCTCACTGCATAATTCTAGCTGGACTAGAATTCACTATGTAGACCAGGCTGGCCTCTAATCTGAAGAGATCGGCCTGCCTCTGCTTCCCAAGTACTGGGATTAAAGGCACAGCCACACCAGGCTTACTTATGAGTTTTTACGGAACTAGGACATCCTCCTACCTAACAGCTATTTTACAATGAACCTTTAATGATGACGGACACATCATTTGTTACTCATTCCAGATCTGCATCCAAATTTCCCTGGTTGTTCCAGTGTCCTTTATAGCTTTTGTTTTTGTCAGTAGTGAATTTTATTTTGTTTCATTTTGATCTAGGATCCAACT